CATAAATAATTAACAACATACCACGTAAAAATCCAAAAATTGTACAGCAAGACCGATTGCTATTATTTTTGTTTCTTTTGGAGTGATTGTCGCGAACAAAAATCACGTGCTCACAAGTTGTCAATGACATTTTTTTCTTGGATCTTTGTTGCTAGCTTACCACAAACCAACCACCTTAAACTTTCTTCACAATTCAAAACAAGAGACACATTAGAATGGACTCAGTCAGTCCTTATTATTATCATCATTGTTTTCATTTTTCATTTTTTTTAAAGGTTCATCGAACCTGATGTGGGTTACCTACGTATCATGTGGGAACATGAATCAGATCTTGCGTAGTTCGAGAAGATTAGAAATAAAGGAAATAAACTAAATCTTTTTTGTTGAATTTTCTTTTTTCTTAACTTTTTTTTAAAATTTTTGAAAGAAAGATTTATAAAGAAGAAAAAAAATATCTTTGGATATTTGGACTTTTATGTTAAAACTATGAAAGAGAGACTTCTAAAGAAAATATTTTTGAATCTTGAATTTTCTTTTCAATTTTCAAAAGAAAAATGAAAATATTTTTGGATTTTTAGAAGAAATTAAAAGAAAATATTTTTGGATTTTTTTTAAAAGTTAGGGTTTCAAAGAAAGACTTTTCTAAAGAAGGAAGTAAAGGAAAATATTTTTGGATTTTTGAAAATTGGGGGCCGGAACCGATGAAGTTTGCCTACGTATCTCGCATCCGATGAGAATCAGACTCGCGTAGTTCGTCAATTTTGACATAATTGGAAAAATATGATATTGACTCACTTTCATTCTTTGAAATACATTTTCTTTTCCTCTTTTTTTTCAAAAATTTTGGCAGAGTTTCGAGGCATTTTCAAATACCTACTTCTCACTCTCTTTTCTTTTTTCTTTTTCTTCCTATTCTAGAAGCCAGTCAACATGCAAGCCGAAACAGACAGATACACAAGTAGCACGTAAGATGCATCAGGATGGTCTTTTAATTTGGGTACACTTATCCTAGACGGACCCAACCCCTGTGTTGAGTCCCCAAAGTCAAATGTACGTGATGCAAATAAGCGTTCCTACTAGGGATCCTACATGAGGCTATGTTATTTTAGGTTTAAAACCTGGGTGTATTGTTCTAGAACTGGCTTACCTGAGCGGACAACTCGAGCCGAGGGGGAGCAACGTGCCGGTAACCAAAAGGCCATCCGGCTTTGTAACTAATCTGATCCTCGTTCTAAATTAGGGTATGACACTAACATAAAAGAAGTCACGCCAGCATGCACTTCCCAGAAGATTTAAAAGACTCAAAAAGAAGAAGGGTTTCGTAAAAATTTATATACAATTCAAAAAATATCAAAGCGGTAAAAAGCGGCAATTAGCACATTAGGCTCAAACACGTAAAAATCAGATAATAAATGAAAGCCAAGTGTAATAGTTATTCTAAACTCGAATTCTTGAACCCTGAACCAGAGATTCTGGGTTCGATCCCCAGCATAGTCGCCAGAGCTGTCACACCTCCTTTTTCTATCCAAAAGGGATATATAAGAGAGTTTTTCCAATTAAAGTGACAATAATCGAATTGGGATTATTTATTTCAAACTCACAGTCACCACTTGGAATAATTTATGGTGTCCCAAGTCCCCGATTTAAAATCCCGAATCAAGGAAGTTGACTCTTATTTATGGTCAGCGAACACAGAAATCCGGGTAGGGAATTCTGTTAACCCGGGAGAAGATGTTAGGCATTCCCAGGTTCCGTGGTTTTAGCACGGTCGCTCAACTATTAATAATTGACCTAATTATCTGATTAATTACACATTTAAAACCTATTGTGCATTTTTTTAACCTTTTAAAACCGCTTTTAATTATTAAAACAATTATGGAATTTGTTTGAACAAGTCGCGATGTCGCGCCCTCGTTTGTTTTTGTACACATTGCTAATCAAGTCACGGAAACCTTTTAAAACCTGGGTGTATTGTTCTAGAACTGGCTTACCCGAGCGGACAACTCGAGCCAACGGGGAGCAACGTGTCGGTAACCAAAAGGTCATCCGGCTTTGTAACTAATCCGATCCTCGTTCTAAATTAGGGTATGACACTAACAGAAAAGAAGTCACGCCAGCATGCACTTCCCAGAAGATTTAGAAGACTCAGAGAGAAGAAGGGTTTCGTAAAAATTTATATACAATTCAAACAATATCAAAGCGGTAAAAAGCGGCAATTAGCACATTAGGCTCAAACACGTAAAAATCAGATAATAAATGAAAGCCAAGTATAATAGTTATTCTAAACTCGAATTCTTGAACCCTGAACCAGAGATTCTGGGTTCGATCCCCAGCAGAGTCGCTAGAGTTGTCACACTTTCTTTTTCTACCCAAAAGGGATATATAAGAGAGTTTTTTGAATTAAAGTGACAATAATCAAATTGGGATTATTTATTTCAAACTCAGAGTCGTCACTTGGAATAATTTATGGTGTCCCAAGTCACCGGTTTAAAATCCCGAATCAAGGAAGTTGACTCTTATTTATGGTCAGCGAACACATAAATTCGGGTAGGGAATTCTGTTAACCCGGGAGAAGGTGTTGGGCATTCTCGGGTTCCATGGTTTTAGCACGGTCGCTCAACTATTAATAATTGACCTAATTATCTGATTAATTACACATTTAAAACCTATTGTGCATTTTTTTAACCTTTTAAATTCGCTTTTAATTATTTAAAACAATTATGGAATTTGTTTGAACAAGTCGCGATATCGCGCCCTTTGCTAATCGAGTCACGGAAACCGTACCCACGATCTACAACATGTTTATTTTATTATAATTCAAAGTTGTGATCGGGTCACAAGAAATGCACACCTGAATGGGATTTACGTATTGTGACCATGCCACGGGAACCGTACCCATGGCCACGATGATTTATTATTAAATGCGCCTAAAGCAACTAGCGCATTTGAATTATTTTCCTAAACTTTGAGATTATTGTGAGGCCAAATTTATGAACAAGATATTGTTGGGCAGTAAATGGGCTATCTATTCGGCTCAAATTCTTTTTCCTTCATTAGTCCGAGCCCAAATCATTCTATGTCCGGTAATTTGAACCAATTGTCAAACCTTTACGACCCAAAACAAATTCACGAAACGAAACCTTAAGTATTGAATTCTGGACTTGATCAAACTAAATAAAATATTTGGTAGTTACATGATTAATTCAACTTATGCCTCCAAATATCAAATGAAATATACAAACCAAAACAAGGAACAACTATCGGAACATAAAAACAAATAGAACCTTTGGGCGAGAGCAACTAGAGTAAACATACTATTGAGAAAGAAGAAACAAAATTGGATCTTTCATTGATAAATGTCTAACCTTTAGTCACAACAGTAAGATCGAGTTTCAATTGCGAAACGTAAAGCAACAAAAATGTTTCAACTGAAACCGCTGACCGGAGCTCGAACGCAAATCCAAACAACTCCAGCGATAAATTCTTTCAATATCAAAAGACTTGAAGAGTAGTATTCCAATATCCTAGAATGCCAAAACAACTAACTCTTGTTCATAACCATCTAAAATATTTTTGTATATGTTTTATGAATCTAAAAAAACTGAACCGAAAATCAAAGTTTTGTTCGTTCCCTTCTTTTTCGTTTATCCTTTTGTCGTTTCCCCTCTATGTACGTTTTTTGGTTTTCTTTTTTTAATTCTTAAAATCCCAACTCAAGATCTACATACACAAGCACACATTATATGTCCCAGAAAAATGATTGGAAATGTGATTTCTTATTTTTCTTTTTTGGAAAAATCCATATGGGGCATATGTATTATATTGTATATGAAGGTTGAGCTGGGGTTAATGCAAATGGTAGTGGTGACCGTTCATTTCTCTCATTGGGGCGGTCTGTCGTTCTTTCTTAGAGTTGTGTAGGGATTTTTTAGGTCTTAGCTAGGTCTAGGTTTTTAGAGGAAGAAAGGGTCCTTTTAAAGTGTTAGAATTTTATGGGTATTGGGCCTGAGAATTATGGGCTAGATCCGAATTGGGCCAAAATTTGACCAAATTTACCTTTAAAAAGTGGCCCTTTTACTCTAGTTAAAAAAATATTAATTCCTAAAATAATAACTACAAAATTATGAAATCATTCCTAATTAATTAAAGGAAAATTAAAAGTGAAACTATTTTTGTATATTTATTTTAATTTTATGAAATGTATATAAGCTAAAAGTAACTAGATAAAATATCAATTTGCTAAATAAAAGGAAATACTTTTTGTATTTTTATTTTTTGTGACAAAAATGAAGTAAAAGAGTAAAAATTAGTTAATGTAGCGATATTAGACCTAAACTAATTATTTAACACTAAAATGGGTAAAATCTTGGGGAGGGTCAAAAATTACATGTCTACAAATACATCTAACAAGGCAAGAGAAAACAATTTCAATTAACAACACTATGATTCTTATACAATTTGCAACAAGTCAACAAAAGTCAACTCCCGAGCCCGCATCTCGAAACCCGATAAAATTTACAAAAATCGAATACCCATTCCGATACGAGTTCACCCATACAAAATTATCCAATTCTGATACCATTTGGTCCTTCAAATTATCATTTTACAATTTTTTCCAAATTTCATCCCAAATCACGAATCAAATGATGAATTCAAAGTGTTGTTCACCTGGGGTTCAAACAACAAGGACCCAATCCAAATTGCATAATAAATGATGAANATAATCAATGATGAATGCTCTATTTTGGAATGTGAGATCGGTGAATACAATGAAAGCCTTTGAGAGGCTGGTCACTATGCAGAGGCAACATCATTTTCAATTCATAGGTATCATGGAACCAATGCAAAGAGCCACGAATTTAGAATGGTATAGAAGAAAGATCGGAATGCTACAAGTTTACGCAAATGTTTCAAACAAAATATGGGTATTTGTTGATGAAGATCATGGTGTTGATATCATTATCAATATGGACCAACAGATGACACTAAAAATAACAAACATGGATTCTGGAAGGTCACTTATTGTTACATTTGTATATGCAAAATGTGACTCTACTGAAAGAATTGAATTGTGGGACAGCTTATATGCACTTGCGAGAGATATGGATCTTCCTTGGCTAGTGGGAGGAGATTTCAATGTTATCTGGGATGAAGAAGAAAAATTTGGAGGCCGGCCCATCCACATGAATGAGGTTCTTGATTTTAGGCATTGTGTAAATACTTGTAACCTTTTCGATCTTGGATTTAAAGGAAGTATTTACACTTAGTGGAATGGTCGAGGTGAAGATGACTGCATTTTCAAGCGACTAGACAGAATATTAGCAAATGCAGAATTCCAACAGATGTTTGCAGCTTTAGAGGTAAACCATCTTTCCAAAATTGGTTCTGACCACTACCCGATGATGTTGAGTGTATAGGCCTCTACAGTCCCAATCAAGAGGTCCTTCAAATTTTTGAATTTCTGGACAAAAAATCCAACTTTCAAAAATACAGTAGCAGAAAACTGGACAGCAGACTTTAATGCGAACCCTTTCACTTTGTTCAATCACAAGCTCAAAAAGGTGAAGAAAGCTCTTTCAATCTGGAGCAAGGCTACATTTGGAAATATTTTTGAAAAGATTGCTAGTTTGGAAGAGGTGGTCTTAGTTCATGAAGCACAATTCGAGTTGAATCCTTCTTTTCAGAATAGAGAAAGACTTATGAAAGTTCAAGCTGAGTTCATAAAATACTTAACGCTAGAGGAGGAATTTTGGAAACAAAAATCTGGATTGTCATGGTTCAAAGATGGAGATAGGAACACAAAATTCTTTCATGCACAAGTCATGGGAAGAAGGAAAAGGTTGGAATTGAAGAGAATCTAAAATAGCGAGGGCAATTGGATTGAAGATTCAGTGGCTATGGCAGAGAAAGCTGTAAAATATTTCACTGATCAATTTCATGAAGATAAGGTTCCTGATGCATTTGACATACTGGATCATGTGCCACACATGGTGAATAATGAGCAGATGATATGCTTTTGAGGCAACCTAACAAAGACGAAGTGAAAGGGGCAGTGTTTGGGCTCAATGGAGACAGTGCAGGTGGACCGGAAGGATTCACTGGTTGTTTCTTTCAAGCATGCTGGGATATAGTCGGAGATGATGTCTATGACATGGTTAGAGCTTTCTTCAATGGGCATAATCTACCAAATTTTGTGACTCACACAAATTTGGTGCTATTACCTAAGAAGAAACAGATTTTGACTTATTCTGATATGCGACCCATTAGCCTTAGCAATTTTATAAATAAAGTTTTCTCGAGGGTTGTTCATGAAAGGCTAGCTGGAATGCTTCCTAATCTAATATCAGATGAGCAGACAGGATTTGTTAAAGGGAGAAGCATCGTTGAGAATGTGCTGCTAACTCAAGAAATAATTACAGATATTAGACTAAGGACTAAAGCAGGGCCAAATGTGGTGATAAAGTTAGACATGGCTAAAGCCTACGATCGACTTTCTTGGCTTCTTTTGACTAAGGTTTTGAGAAAGATAGGGTTTGGATAAAGACTCATAGGTCTGGTGTTTGGTATCATCTCAAACAATTGGTATTCTGTAATGATAAATGGGCAGCCCTATGGTTTCTTCAAGTCGACAAGAGGAGTGAAACAAGGAGACCCTCTATCCCCTACTCTTTTTATTCTGGCAGCTGAGGCATTATCAAGAGGTTTGAATGCATTACATTTGAACTTACATTTCTGTGGATTTGGATTGCCTAAATGGAGTCCTAAGATTAACGATCTTGCATATGCCGATGACACTATTATTTTCTCCTCCTCGGATGCAACTTCATTGAAATTAATAATGCAAGTCCTATTTGATTATGAAGCTGCATCTGGACAGCTTATTAACAAGTCGAAATCTGATGTATATTTGCACCATAATACTCCTGTAGAGGTGGTAAATAAGGTTGAGAGGATATCTGGGATTAACAGGCAAGATTTTCCCTTTACTTACCTTGGGTGTCCTATTTTTTATACAAAAAGAAAGATGGATCACTACCAAAATTTACTCACCAAAGTTATGGACAAGTTACAGGCATGGAAAGGTAAACTACTCTTAATCGGAGGAAGATATATTTTGATCTCGCATGTTCTGCAAAGTATGCCTATTCATCTACTATCTGCTGTGAACACCACTACAAATGTTATAAACAAGATGCATAAGATGTTTGCACAATTCTTCTGGAGTAGTACTGTGGGGTGGAACGAGTAGACATTGGTCTTCTTGGGCTAACCTATGTCTTCCATGTGATGAGGGAGG